ACGTTGGAAATACACCAGCCTAGTTTCAACTGGATAGTGGCGCGACATGCAATTTGATTCACGCAAAGTTTCTTAGAACTGAAGCCGAACTGTTTCCCACGCGGAAATTACTCCCAATGTTCAGCAAAACAATCACGAAACCTCTCGGAACGTGCACTGTAGCAGTATCTAACCCCAAGAATTCCAAAACGTATCAGATTGAGTTTGTATTTGTGGACGAGACCAGTCGACGCCGATTTTAGGAAATCCAACGATGCAGTAGATGGATTTGGTCAGGGTCCAACACCAACATGTTATGGCCGTCAATACTAGGGTTCAGTGCAGTAGTCAGTGACCCCTTTCAACGGAAGAAGTCTTAAAGGAGTACCCCGATGTGTTTTAAGACACTTGAAACTTGAAGGGCAAGTATTAGCTGGAAATCGAAGAGGTTGCTGAGCCAGTAGTCTATCCTCTTAGGCAAATACCTGTTGTATTGCGCAAAATTCTAATTTCTTTGCGCATTATAATTTGATGACGTAACAGATATAATTGTTAAGATTTTCTATCGCTAGACAGTGTTATGGACACCTAGAACCAATGGGTAAATATTTACCTTGATTTCTTTTGATATTATCGATATGAACTGAAACTAATTTGTTAACGCATTACTTTACAGATTTCGAATCTCCGATCCATATCCATGGATTTTGTCATAACCTTCATCCGTTATTTATTGTAATAAAATATCGAGGTTTGGAACCTTTGGTATATTAATGTCCTAACACACCGTCACACCTGTCACGCTCAAGGGAAAGCTGAAAAAAGAGTTGGTATGGTTGCAGAGTCTTGGGATCGTAGAAAGAGTCACAGAACCTACCTCTTGGTTTTCGAGCTTCGTTATCATACAAGAACCTAAAGGACAGATCCGTGTTTGCATTGACCCAAAGGACCTCGACAAAGTTCTTAGGAGGAGCCACTACCTAAACCCAACACATGAAGATATTCTCCCAGAGCTTGCCAGGGCTAAAGTGTTTTCCGTTGTAGACGCGAAGAACGGTTTCTGGCACGTTGAACTTGACGATGACAGTTCACACTTAGCGTTCAATTCTCCCTTTGGAAGATTTTTTTGGCGTCGCATGCCCTTCAGTCTTTGTTCGGCCCCGGAGGAGTTTCAGCGAAGGCTTAACCACGGACTTGACGACCTGACGGGCGTATTAGCCATTCATGATGATATCTTGATTTTTGGCGTGGGGTCAACAGTGGAAGAAGCACTGACAGATCACAACAAAAATTTCCACTTCTTAATGCGGAAGATCCTGCTTCAGAAGGTCAGCATATTTCCCATGCTGCCCGTGCGCTAACCGACGCAGAGTTTACGGTTTGGACACCTATAGTAGAAAAGTGATTGTGGAATCAGACCATGCACAAGCCTCTAGAAGTTATTTTCAAGAAGCCACTGCATTGAGCTCCGAAGAGGCTTCAGTGAATGTT